GCTTGAGCCACAGGTGCCAAGCCAACTGTTTTGTTTTTATCCTTAAGTAATGTTCTACATATTTATACCTACTCTTTGAAATGCTCCATCAAGCATGGGCAGCCCCATATTATTGAGTTAAATGAATATCAGAAAGTTCCTTTGCTGATAAGAAACTGTACAGATGCACCTATGTTCACATAAAATATATTTGTAGCATATATAATTATGAATAGATAATCTAAACCACACATTAAGCATTATTAAAAATAAATTAAAAAATAAAAGATTAGAAAACATCAAAATTGCTACAAATCATCAAAAATAGCCACCTTTAAAAAGCCATCAACTAGGTGTGGTCATCCCAACTAGTTGAGAGGCTGAGGCAGGATGATTATTGAGGTCAGAAGTTTAAAACCAGCCAAGACCTCATCTCTAAAAAAATATTTTTCACCTCTTGGAGGCAGGACACTATTATAAGAAGTACTTACCTAACAAATGCAATCAGTATAACCTGATTCTCTGTACCCTCAATGAATCCTCAACAATAAAAAAATAATAATTTCAAAAAGAATTTTTTTTCAAAAATTAGCCAGGCAGGAGGCCAAGGCAGGAGTATTGCTTAAGCCCAGGAGTTTGAGTATGAAGTGAGGTATGATGAAGCCACTGCACTCTAGCTCAGGCAACAGAGTGAGACTCTGTCTCAAAAAAAAGGAGAGAGAGACTAAAACTAAAATGCCAAAGTTGGCCAGGCATGGTGGCTCACACCTGTAATCCTAGCACTCTGAGAGGCCAAGGAGGGTGGACTGCCTGAGCTCACAGGTTTGAGACCAGCCTGAGGAAGAGTGAGACCCCTGTCTCTAAAACTAGCCAGGCGTTTTGGTGGGTGCCTGTAGTCCCAGCTACTTGGGAGGCTGAGGCAAGAGAACTGCTTGAACCCAACAGTTCGAGGTTGCTGTAAGCTATCATGCCACAGCACTCTACTGAGGGTGACATGGTGAGACCCTGATTCAAAAAAGTTACTTCTACTTGAGCAAGAAAAGTCATAAGCTATAACCAAAATAATAAAAAGAATGATTTTCTTAGCTCTTTACTCACAAATCTCATATTTTCTTCATACAAAGTTGTTGGAGTTCTAAATTTATATATGATTCAATAATACAGTTGTTATTAAAAGTTATCTGTTAGCATATAACTCTATAATATCATGTGAAATATAGAAGAAAGAATTTTCTCACAAAGAGGAAGCATTTATCATCAATTTCTTTTCAGAAATATTAAAGATCTGGGAAGGATGAGTATGTTTATCTGTATGTTTCCTCTTGTGTAATAATGTTCTATTTGAAGTTGTATATTTTGCAAAATCTTACCTCTGCTGGATGCTGAATTATATACAAGTGGGTAGAGATATTCAGAGGGTGCGCTGGTAAATATGGACACAAGCACACTTTTTGAGGCCGGCTAAAGGGTACAAAGAAAAAGTCAAGTTTTAAACTTGTCAAGTTTTAAAATACAATAAATACAACAATTTCCTAAAACTTGAACATAATCCCACTTTATGCTGAAGCCACATTATTTTCAAAATGAAACACCAAGAATGACCTTAGACATGAGAATGTGGGGAAATATTCAAGTAAATTCTTTACCATCTTTGGGTTGTCAAATCTGCAGCTCACAGGCTGGCCACAAGCAACCAAGGACAGCTATGAAAGCAGCCCAACGCTAAATTGTAAACTTACTTCAAAATATCTTGAGGGTTTTTTTCTGATTTTTTCGGTGAAACTTGATTGCGCAGTTCTCAAGCATGGACTTCATAGACAACAACACTATGTTGCAATGTCAGGCAAAATAAACATAGGTACACTCTTGCCATTTGTACCCAAGCATGGCTTCAGTTTTATGGTGGTGTGTGGCCTCCAGTGTGCCATTTTCCAAGCACAGTCAATCAACGCGACACCATCAGACATTAAATGTGCATGTGATCACTTGGCGAGGCAGTAAATACCAATAATACTTCAACCTACTGCAGCAACATTAGGCATTTAATATTACTTAGAAGTCAGGTAAGCATTCGTCTTTGACTATTAAGGTACTTCCTCACCTTGGCAACACCTCACACGTTGCCCACCAAGCTTTACAATGAGGCCTCTGCCTCGCAGTCAAGATGTGGAAGGGCCCAAACCTTGCTTTCTATTTTCCTGTCAATTAACTTTCATAATAAAAGTAAAGATAGCCCCTTATCTATAATCCCAGCATGGCTTCTACAATGCCTCAAAAGAAAACAGAACTCAAGAAAAGAAAAATTACAGATGAAGGAAGATTATTCAACAAAAAATAGGTGACCACTTTTTTATTGAGGCAAACAGTAAGGCACTCTGCTTAATTTGTAGGGAATCTATGCAAGTTTTCAAAGACTATAATTTGAAAAAGAATTACATGCAAAAACACGCAGCCAAAGTTGATACATATGAAAGATGCGTAGTAAGAACAAACTAGCAGAACTGAGAAAATGTCTGTCTTCTCAATAAAAAAAAAAAATTTTTTAAGTTACAACTCAGACAATTCCATTGTAAAAGCTAATTATGTGGCAGCATATTTAATAGCAAAAAAATCAAAATGGTTTACTGATGGTCAGTTTATTAAGGAATGTATGAAAAGCACGGCAGATACAATTTGCCCTAAAAAAAGAAGGATATTTCTAAAATCAGTCTGTCTTACTAAACTATAGCCAGGTAAACTGAAGAAATCTATCGTAAATAGTTTCGAGAGTAAAGCTGCTAATTTTTAATTTTATGCTTTGGCGATAGATGACAGCACTGATGTTACAAATGCTATGTTATGACTCAACTTGCCATTTTTATTAGAGGTATTGATGACAAATATAATGTCACTGAAGAAATGGCTTCTTTGGTGCCATTAAAAGACACAACCAATGGATCGGCGCCTGTGGCTCAAGCGGCTAAGGCGCCAGCCACATACACCTGAGTTGGCAAGTTCGAATCCAGCCCGGGCCCACCAAACAACAATGACGGCTGCAACCAAAAAATAGCCGGGCATTGTGGTGGGCTCCTGTAGTCCCAGCTACTTGGGAGGTGGAGGCAGGAGAATCACTTGAACCCAGGAGTTGGAGGTTGCTGTGAGCTGTGATGCCATAGCACTCTACCCAGGGGGACAGCTTGAGGCTCTGTCTCAAAAAAAAAAAAAGACGCAACCAAATCAAGAGATTTAGACAAAGCAGTAAAAAAATACACTAAAGCAATTTTCTTTGTCCATTGTTAACATATCTGGTATAATTACTGTGCCGTGACCATGGCAGGTAAAAGAAAAGGACTTATAAATTTAAAATCATCATCAAGACTGTGGATTTCATGAGGGCCAAGGGATTGAACCATCACCAATTCCAGGAATTCCTTAGAAGTACTGAGGCTGACTAAGGTGACATAATTTACTTTTTAGAAGTAAAATGGCTAAGTCAAGGCCAAATGTTGAAAAGATTTTATGATTTCCAACAAGTTATCAAGTCATTTATGGTATCAAAAAACAAATTTGTGGCAGGACTTAATGATGAAAACTGGCTTACGGATTTAGCAATTTTAGTGGATTTAACCACTCATTTAAATGAGTTAAACATGCATCTTCAAAGTGAAAAAGAACTTATCAGCCGGGCACAGTGGCTCACACCTGTAATCCTAGCACTCTGGGAGGCCAAAGCAGGTGGAGCACTTGAACTCACAAGTTCTAGACCAGCCTCAGCAACAGTGAGATGCCCATCTCTAAAATAAACTAGCCAGGCGTTGTGGCAGGCACCTGTAGTCTTAGCTACTCAGAAGGCTGAGGCAAGAGGATCACTTGAGCCCAAGAGTTTGAGGTTGCTGTGAGCTATGATAGCACTCTACTGAGGATGACAAAGTGAGATTCTGTCTCAAAAAAAAGAAAAAGAACTTATCAATAAAATGTTTTACACATTCTAATTGAGAAGAAAAGTGTTCCAAATGAAACTGAAAGTATGGCAAGCTCAAATTAAGGCAAATAATTTTATGCATTTCCACACAGTCTTGTGAACGGTGAAAAATATGCAGCCTTGTTTTTTGATTTGATACGAGAATTTGAAAACAGATTTCAAGACTTCCTGGAAAATATTTTGGTGCATTTGCAATTCCATTTTCAGTCTATAGATATAAATATGTTAACTGCCAATTTTCAAATGGATTGAATGGAGCTGAAATCTCACATTCAACTTAAAGAAAAATTTGATCTTGTCTCTTTACTGGACTTTTATATAGGTCCTATCTTCACAGAGACAAATATCCCTCATGTCACAATCAGATTTTATTCATGTCATCATTTTTTGGCAGCACCTACATTTTCAAGCAACTATGTTCAAGCACATTAAGAGTAAAACTAGAACCCAGGCTCGGTGCCTGTGGCTCAAGTGGCTAAGGCACCAGCCACATACACCTGAGCTGGCGGGTTCGAATCCAGCCCGGGCCCTCCAAACAACAATGATGACTGCAACCAAAAAATAG